CACATATTGCATACCAATATAGCTCAAACGAGTTCGCATTTCAGAAGTTTACATGGATTTTTGGTAGAGTTATGCCCCTTTTATTGCCAAATAAGGGCGTTGTGTAGAAAATGCAAGAACTTTTTTGTTTTAATCAATTCCTTTCAACTTTTGTATGGTAATGCTACAAGCATTAATGTTCAACATATATTGTGGGGTTTTCTGTCGAGTTTCAACTTTCTGCGTTTTGGCATATCACACTTCATTGTTTTTGCCAAAAAAAAATGCTTGTTTATGTGATAACTCAAGCCAAAACACTTTTATCACTTAAAGCGCTGAGCAGGCGACACATCCACTCCTATGGAATTCTTGTTGTTACCTAAAGACCAAAACCTTTGGTCATATTGTTGTTTATGATTTTCACTAATGTTGTATACTGATGTCACTGTTGTAGGAAGCTTAAGGATGTTGTGGATGAGAATATCGGGGAGGAAGTGGATGGCAAGAACGATGAGTCGGAGGACGACGATGATATGGTAGATGTGGAGGTGCAGGAACCTGGGGAAAAGTGGGACTGTGAATCTATCCTTAGTACGTATTGGATGCGGGGGTTTAACTAAATCTTGTAGTATGGGAACTATTCCCAGCATGTAATCCACTCAGGGTTCTAAATAATACTGGTGGTGTCGAAACCATTCACTAAATAAACATGTTGTAGTGTTTTAACAGGGTTCATGCAGGCCTTGAATTTAACAAAAATGTCCTGAAGGGGTCGGAGTGAGCCTTGAATTTGACTAAACGATCATTAAAATATGGCTGTATATTTTAGTGGTGTTATGGTGTCATTGTCATAAAAATGAATTCAGAAACTAAAAGGAAATGAAATGTTTGTTACGAGTAAATTTCTAGATTTCCGGAATATGTGGGTGTCTGGTGAGTTTAGAGCCATACAGGGTACACATATGGGTCTATGTTCTTTGAAAAATTGCAAATTTTGGGAGATTTTAGGCCTTTATTATACTTAAAAAGCCCTAAAAGGTAAAAAAAAAACAAAAAAAAACACTTGAATTTCATAGTAAAATTCCTGTACAAACACTGTTTAAATGAAAACTGATGATATGTATCCATTCTCAACATGTTATCAACCCAGGGTTCTAAATAAAACTGTTACAAGACAAAGCTTAGATTGTCTTTGTGGCTGAAGAAAAAGTTTCTATTTGATGGAATTATAGTTACTATAAACTTACTTTTCAGGCACATATTCAAACATATACAACCATCCAAAGTTGATCGAGGAACCAAGGAAGGTATGTAAAATATCTTCTCCTGATCTCAACTGCCTGCAGAGAATCATGTAATAGGATGTTTTAAGTTGTTTACCTGAAACTGAATTTATTATTTGATATTGAGAACTTAAGTCTTTAAACTAAATGATTTCTTTTGATGTGAAAGACGGGTCTCAGCTATTTCACTATTTGAGATATTCATTATACTAGTAGGTAACTTACGATTGTGTATGTACATATTGACCGCACAACTCGAGGCAAGATAAAGCAGTGAGACTTTTATATGGTACTTTGATGTCAAGGAAATGTCTGGAACATTTATATAGGACTACTACACATACAATTAGAAAGTAGATTTACTGTTAACTTGGGATTTTCATATTTATTTATTTTTCCCATTCAGTTGAATAAAAGACCGAAATCCAAGACTTGTTTCAAGATTAAAAGATTACTTTATTCTGCCAAGTATTGTCTGACATTCTCTTGCCATAACCTTGTACATGTACCTATTTCAGGAAAGAAAAATAAATTTAACCTCCCGGCTAGGCATTCCAAACGAATCACTCAAGAAGTCAGGATTGACACAGAAACAGATAGAAAAGTCAGAAAGGGATGCCAGACTGGCAGACAAGGCGAGTACATACCGACCGAAGGATGAAACGCAGCGAGAGAAGAAGGAGAGGAAACAGGCAGTTAAAGAGGAGAGAAAGGTAAAGACCTCACAGTGAACTCTTTGTGTACAAAACAAATAAGAAATACAACGTTGATAGGTCTCAATAAAAATTGAATAAAAATAAAATTTGTAACCATGGCAACATCGAGCACAAATACAGAGTGTCACTTATATAATAACTTCAAGTACAAATGTTGTAGGATGAGGAATAGTGATAAAGATAGTGTCCTCACTGG